TTCGAATAACATGAGTCTGATTTCCTCGACGCGAATTAAATTGAAAGTTTGAAATAGGAGGAAGATGGAGGAGAGAACAGTGTAGACTATTGAATAGAGAGGTTAGTGCATGTATCTATGCATTATAATACATGTAACAAATAGTTTGCTTTCTCAAGTGGATGAAATTTATAACAACGCATATTACAGTCACTGGAATACTTGTAAGTTGGACCATAATGTTGATAAAGTCTTTCTATGCGAAGCGATGTGAAATTTTAGACCCATAGATACCATACCAGCTAAAAGTAGCCATCGGAATTGGAGTTAACCTTTTGAGAAATATTCTTTCTAACATGAATGGTAATGAAAAAATGGAATAAGTCGGGGCCTAGTTAGGAAATGGCGTTAGTTAAAGAAGTTTCTTGGGGTTGTTTTTAATCAAAATAGGAACTGCGTACAAGTTTGGATTTTCGATGGAAACAGTAAAGTTGATGGGAAAATAAGTGATTGGTTGTGTATGCGGCTATCAGGCGGTGTCTTCTGTCTGTAAAGTTGGCTATCAATGCAGGTCCGGACAAAAAAAAATGTGATCTTGAGGTGAGGCTTACTGCGAAAATTCCACGTAAATTGTACCAAAGAGGAAGAAACAATGTTCTTTGATAAAATGATTTTTTTGGGCTGGCGCGCATGCAGGGAGTACACATTCAACTATCTTGTTTTCTTTTAGTATGAGCATAAATTTATTCATCATGAATAGATATTTGCCACTAGCATGGAAACTACGGAGCGTTTCGGTTACCCAGCCAAACGCAACCGCAACTCTGGGGAATGAAGAGCAGTGGCACAGATTTCCACAAAAAACGGCGGGATGGCATTTGAACAAGTTGTGGAAAGGCTAAGTTAGCTCTGCCTATGCTGGCAAGATTCATGACAGCTCCAAGTCAAATTTTTACTGGATGAATATCTAAGTAGCTGCCGACAGAGGAGCATGGGTGTTATTGCTTGGATATTTGTTGCCGACGCTTAGCATGATGTCTAGAAGAAGGTGACATTTATCTACAGCAGCTAGTCACCGTTAACTAGGCATGGGCTCGTCATTACGAACTCTGCATAGCAAGTGGGATCAAGACAGTCAGACATATGCAAATACCTTAAAAAGATCGCTCTAATTATAGAAAAAAAAACGTATAAATGTCAACATAGTGACAAGGATGCCCGGAGGAGCGCCCCTTAGAAGAAAGGGGCCTGGGAGCGTCCGCAATGCCACCCTAATATTTGTAGACCTTTAGATTCTACTCAACACCGTTAACCCTGGCAAAAAGCAAATGTAAGAGCGGGAATTTGTAAAAGAATTTAATAAAATTAGTGCCGGTTAATTAGCGATCATAAAAAAAATGGCCACAATTTCAATAAAACTGCTTAAAATACCTTAAAAAGATCAACGCAGTAAAAAGAAATGCGACTAGTACTTTCCAAGTCAATCACACCAATAGGATTTCTCGAGTTCCTACTCCGTAGTAAAGGCGGTCGAGATTTTTTTTTTTGCTATTGTTTACAAGAAGAATAAGGAATGTAGGCTAATCTGAGTTTACGAAATAAAAGCAAATCAAAATCGCCATAAATGCTACTTACAAAATACTACTACTTCAATAGGGGTTTTGAAAATGTTGAAACCGCGGAATTATTAAAATACGGATGCGGGGTTAAACATTTCGAAAAATAATATTAGGTATTCTTAAACCGTAGCCTACTGAAAATGATAAAATAACTTCCCTCTAATTATGCGCTACACCATGCGTTAGAATCGGAGTTTACAAGCATAATTCATAAGAAACAGATTGGCGAAGAAAGAAGAATAGGAAATTTGTCACAGATCGAAAGAACCGTAGGTGAGAAAGGCTAATTACTACTTGCATTTATTCCAAAAAAAAGTATTTAGAAAATAGTCACGGCATAACACCATTTTGATATTTATTTATACATTATTTGCCAGCAAAATTGACAACCCGATCATAATTCCTCTTAGGCCCTAGGCAACGAGTTAATTTGGTAGAAAGACGTCATGACCCTACCCAAAATATTTATGTTGGTGGCTGGCGCACCTAGCCCACCCATGAAATCCTGCGACTTCATGAAATGCTAGCATTAATATCACGTGGCATCTGTATGTATATGAGTTAAAAAAGTCAAAGCTCAAACCCAGGCACAGACACACACACACAAACACATGAAGTGACACATGACGCCAAAGCACACTATCTTGTCCACAAAGTGAAATAAGCGGTCTACAGTTACCACCGCTGCTGCTGACACCTGTCCTCATTATTCACTGAGCGTTGTGAGCATCTCGTAGGTGGTGACATCATCCATCGCGCCAGCATTTAATTTGCAAGGCAAAGAAGCATTATCTCGACTAAATTCGTCGTCACATGCAAGGCACAGGCAAGATTGTCTCCACTGGCCAACTTACTTAGTCTCCTCTTTTTCCTATTAGGTAATAAAATACCGTAGAAGACTAAAGTATGAGTCAGTGGTTTCAATTTACAGGCATTACAATTTTTTAAAAAACTCCCAGACCTCTTAGAATCATATATTTAAGTTTTTAGAGAAATGACCTTAATTTGGTTTAATGAATGAGGATATGATTGTACGAGTAGACTTTCAAAAGGTAACTGGCTTACTAATTTCGAAATAGAGGGTAGATTTTGCCTTGCATTGTCTTTCTATGGTCCACAAAGTTTGTAACTTAACCACTGCTGGTCGACTTACATCCAGAATGAGGAAAAATTATCTAGTTAACTTTTTCTCAAGCATTTCATAGCATTTCTAACCAACTTCCTTAAAATTAAATGAAAAAATTCAGAAATTTATTTACGTTTTCAAACCTTTTACCGCATGACCCTAAAGGCTTTAAATCAACCATAAAATTAGACACCGTTTATTTATCAAAGTTTATTTGACCGATTACTCCACCGAATTCTAAGGCTAATTTCTTATCAAAAAAATTATTCCCCTTGAAAGGTAATGCTCCATCGAAGTGAAGTTTATTGGCCGAACGCAACAAATGTCTGTGAATGAAGGATTTGATCATGGAGAACACAGATGCATATTTACGCCGTCAGTTCGAGGCTACGGACAAATTGAATTCAACCGATTAACTTGTCGCGAAAAGGAAAATCCTTTGCTCCCCCCTATTTATGGAAGCATGAATGTTCCATATAATGGGAAAAACGTTTGCTTGGAAATACCTTATTTTAACTTTAACGTTCACTTTGAACAGCACAAACCTTAAAACCAAATTAGTACGCATGTAATAAATAATCACATGATCATTCTTTTCATTTTTCTAACAAAGAGTGCGCTCTAAAGAGGAATGAATTAGCCCAAATTTGCTGTCATCCATGGAATAGAACCAACGACTAATTTGTACCACTTTGTAATGTTTTTAAATCGCAAAACAAACTTCTTCATCAACCAACATCCCTAGGTGATTTCTAAGGAGAAAAAAAACAGGAAACACTGGTGGTAGCATACGTGTTTATCAATGTCAGAAGCAAATTGAAGAGTTAGAAATCTCTCAACTTCTTCGGTGTTACAGTCTCTACTTTGAAATCACTGACCGTAAAGGACACGATTTACACAATGGAATTGAAGTGGACAAACTCGGGTTTACTGATGAACGAGTTGTTTGTTATTACTGGTCCGATGACGAGGAATATAGTCTTTGACCTGTCAAAAAATAATTTAATGCTTATAACTAAATTCACCACCTCGTGCGAGATGAAAGCACGACTCCACACCACACTGTCTTTTACTATTCTTTTGAAGACTCGAAACTGGATAGTGACCATTCAGCTTGTCCATAAGTTCGGTGAAAATTTTTTATTCTTTGCCTTACTTAGATGCCTCTTGATGGAAAAGACTAATCCCAACAGCAAAGTGAATATCCACCATTGTGGGGGACCAACCCGCTGGTTAATAATACTGATTTTTGGAAAATCAAGGCCTTTATAACTGTTTAAAAGCCTCCTACTTCATTTAAGACACCCTTAATGATTGAATCGCTTCGACTGCCAGATTTTTGAGGAAGGGGCTATTTTAAATTCGTCGACATAGGCGTTGCTATTTCCTTTCAGTTAAATGATAGAGAGTGAAGTAGTCGAGTTTCTAAACCAACTGACTCGAACACTCGAGGTGAAGGAAAGGTTGCTATACCTTGCATTTCAAGGCATTAAAAGGTGTGAACACGAACACTTTATCGGCCACACTACCTCTGTGGTAAATGAGACTTGCTTAATCCTTCCTATTTCGCAGAGATTTTGTTTTTCAATGATTATCGGTTCTGCTTCAATGTTCAGCACTTTTTGGTATTAGTATCAACATGCGTTCCCGTTCTTTATCATCTTTCGCTCATTTTTTCCATCAAAATTACCCACCTTAACAGATGATAAGAAACGATTCCACCGTTTGTTTGGTTAAACGACCGAGAGAGTGATCACGCATTCCACAGGAATTTAAATGTGTATTCAGAATACCCTTGCTACACTAATTGGCTAGCATTTTGTTGCAAGTTATACTCCAGCCCACCGTCCTATCCGCAGCTAATGGGTTGGTCTTATAGTGCACATTCCAAGAAGCAGAAAAACTTGTTTAGACTGTTGCCAGGCGCTATACTTTATAACATCAGAGCAGTTCAACACAATAAAGTGGCATCGCTCCTTGGTAAAGTACGGAAGAAGTGTGAATTTTCCTTTTAAAATTCAGTTTTAAAGTTGTCTCCATTCAAATGCGTTAATATCTGTCTATTTATTTCAAAAACATATTATGAAACTGTCTTCTCGAAATTACAGCATTAAAATGTGCTTGTTCACGGCCCTGGTTAAAAACGCCATTAGTATATTGGAAGCAGCATGTTTGTGGCCTAAAAGAACCTCAAATTGGGACGGAATGACAGTGTGCTACGCAGCAAATGGCACTGAGAAAATTTTAAAAAAATATCTCTCATCATAACACAATAAAATTACAAAAATCTCTTTGGGACCGTAACAGTGGAGGAAGATTTAATAATCTAAAACCTTTCCACGGGAAAGAAATGACTTTGATATACGAAGGGGGTGCAGAATTATTTAATCCCTTTAAATATACCTAGCTGACAGCTGTACATTGTCGCTAAATAAGTTTTCAAATGTTCTTCATCCCATGGAGAACATAATTAGCAAGCCTTGCTGAACAAACAAAAAAATAAATTTCTAATTCATTCCTTCATATTCGGTGAGGAAATCACGCAAACTCTAGCTCTATTTGCTCCCGAAGTAGCCGATCTTACGGAAAGAATAGTGGGAATTCAGAAGAGGTTTCATGGTTACTGAATTCAAGCACCTTCTCAATTGCTAACAGATTTCTCTCGTTAAAGGATATCGTGAAACTCCCATTAAACCTAAAATTTTACTTGGATGCAAATGCATCGTACTTCTGTTTCGTGGAAGATAAGTATGACCAATTGAAGCAACATTTGCATTCTATTTGTGGACAAAATTAAGCCCTTACGACTACTGCATCTAGTCATGTGCAGGGACCCCCGGTTCCTCTGTACCACAGAAATCACAATCACCTATACAGCCCTCTAGGAGTAAATTCAACTCTACTACTTCTTCCCACAATCGGGAAGCCGGTAAAAATGCCATTGATTGGAGGTCATCATCAACACCGTTAATTTCCTTAATTCAGTAGTCCACGATGGCAAAAACCAGCTGGTTGTTTAGCTCAGCGGTTTAACCGTACGCATGCACACATAAAAAAGCCATACACGACATCATTTAGTATGGGTAGACACTGGGCGGGCTTATTCACCATCTGAGTGGGAGTTCACTGGCCTCCGGATAGGAGCATGTGGTGTCATTTGTCATAGCGACTAATTGCCACTTCTTAAATCCTTTAAAATAAACTTAGGAAAGGAATGGTATGTCTTCGACTTGAACTTCCATTAGTTAGAAACCATCGAATTCTAGGGTATTGCAGGAGACGGGCTAATTACCTCGTTGAAGGGGAATAATTTGGCCGTCTGATTTACTAGTCGTTAGGAGGTACTCTTTGAAATTACTTAGGCATATAATCATTGCCAAACAATTTTAAACCGAATTTGAATTACCCACCACCGACGCAGCATAACATTAACCAGTAAATTCCAATCAACAGTTGACAAAAATTACTCAAGAAAAGCCTAGCTAAAGATATCTCGAAACAGTTTTAAATAAGGCAACCAAATAATTTCATTCTTTGAAGCAATAACTAGTGATAAAATTCGCAACCCTTTTCAAACGAGAAGCAAATTAAGAAAAATTGAGTTTTAGACCCCTCCTTTTCCATCCCGATTTTGTAGGCGATTACCCAATGTCAGAAAATGTCGATTGTCATCACTTTAAGGACTACGAAGGAGAAAACGACGGATGCGGGTAAGGCAGACAATCGCCATAGCTTCAAGTTCGGAACGACGTTTTCACACGGATAGATTTTGAGGTATGGAATCTTGAGTTGGCTTATATGAATAAGGACAGAACTCCCTGCCAAATGATTCCCTGGTCCCGACGCCTGCTGAAGAAGGCGTTCAACCGAGCTGTACCAAGTAAATCGCAGTCGTAGGTGCTTGGTCTTTAGCATTGAGATTAACAGCAGATGACTCCACTTGTATTCCGCTATCCGCTTGCGGAGAGAGGTTTCCGAAATTGGAAATGCATCTTAGTGAGATTTAGCGTTCATCACTAGAGTCAAATTCATTAAATCATTTTCAGGCGCTACGTTCTGCTCTACCCCACCTTCTCCAGATATCATATAATACATGTTACGAGATGATACAGCTATGTAGTCAAACTTTGATTCATAATACAGGCAAACTCAGATCACATCCACCGAAGTTAATCTTCATTCTATAATATGAGGGTCAAAAATATTAGGAAAACTATGAATGTATTTTGTAAGTCCCCACTTATTTTCAACAAGTAATTGCAGCGAGGTATACCGAAAACCGCAGAGGCCCTCTAGGCTACCCGATATCTTAGACACATCAACAAACACGCAGATCGTATTTAGATTCCACAATTAGAGATGACACTTTCGATCCGGGTACGGCCCACGGGGTCTAGCTTACGAAGGTTTAATACAAAACATGAAGGTAAAGTGGCATTCGTTAAAATGCATATTCAGCTACACGGACTCTTCGATCACAATGAATTCTACCACTAACTCGGTGTCATGCCTACAGCCTAGAAGCCCTTTTCTAGGCAAATGTCCGACCATTCCTTTGCAATGCTATACGTAGCTCTCATGAACTCTCATTAAATGATTTAATACAACGAAGCACAAGCAACTTGAAGCATCGACTGACAATGAGAATGTAGCTAATAAATGATCTTGGCAGTCAATGCCCTCTAAATCACAAGTTTAATGATTCTTAAAGACATCAAATTAACAGATGTTAAAAAACCTTCGAGGTAACAAAACCAAGAGCAATTATGTTCTACAAATTCAGAGAGTTGAATACATATTAACTTGTTATTAGGAGATACATTCGTGGAATTTCATTTGAGCCTGAATAAGGGGTATGTCGTGGAGGGTTGATAAGCAAACATCAATACCCAAATGGTAGATTTAACAGTATAAGTAGACAGTCTTAAAAATCCCACCTCCTTAAAAAGCCAGTGACTTCCATTGGTGGATAGATTGTGCATTCCTTAAAGCCATTATTGATGGAATGTTGGAGTCCAATGAGTACTGGATAAGATCATAAAGGTAATTCACTACAAATAGTAGTTAATACTGAGCTATTTTCTCATCGTTTTATCCGTTACGCGGTTACTAAACCAATGGTCTGGATTACATAACACTTTTCTTCAGTTAAAACTGGATTTAAAAGAAAAAAAAGTAAATCACAACCCGCAATGCCTCCTTTTTTGTGCTTCAGATAATTTGATGGATAGTATCAAAAACTAGTCGTAAAATGCAGTATATCTTCTACTTTGAAAAGGTCGAAATAAATCCAGTTCTATTTCCATAGATTCCATTCGAGAGTTGAATCACACAAGTCAACGAAAGTCATCAACTCCGACTGTGGCATATTTTTGGCTCCACAAAAGGAAAAATTCGTTCCTTTCTCTCCAACAGTGGTTGCATTCAAAAGTGCTATTCACAAAATCAGAATTTTATAATTTCGATGGAGCCAAAACTAACAACTGTTTTTTTACTTTACCTCAAAGATAGCAGAAACAAATAAAAATTAATAAGACCTCCTCTAAGGCGTGGGACAAAAGCGATCTTCCAAAACTCGTCACCCGTGAATTCGCTTTTAAATTCCTTAAGCTGGATGCATTTGTTGAAAGCGCACCTTCGACCTGGAGAGTCTACGCTAATTGAAGTGCCACCACATCGTAAATTAAGGTTACGTGTATAAGAAGCAGACGTGTGGCGATGCGAAGCCACCGCATCGTAATTCCACGAAGTCCACGTCATTGGGAGAGCTGTAAAATAAATGGGCGTGTGTCCTCGGCATACTTTATAAATGGTATGGAACGCGCCTGACAAAATCCATTAGCTCCGCCTTTCCGACATACGTGTGGGTAGGTTTTACTCCTGGAGGCCTATTTGCGACATCAGACTTCATCAAAGCCAAATCATGAGAATATTTATTTTTTGTGTTCATGGAACATTTTTGAAGTTTAGATGCATGTGAAGGCGGATGATGAAAGGCAGCATAATTCACTGGCTACGGGTCAAAAATATCCTATCCTGAAATGGTTATCTTGGGTGTGACAAAGACGATGGATAACTTCGAACGCAGCCAAAAAGGCTAGTTAATTTATTGTAAATCACTAAAGTAGCTAAAGATGTTTGCATTGGTCCATTTTCTATGCCCTTGAACTAACCTATTCAAAGTTTTGAGAACGGGACAATGCTGAGTCAAAATATGGTGGAGCCGCGTTTGCACATGAAGCATTCCAACCAGAAACTTCACAGATCGTTGAAATCTAAACAAATTTTTAAGGTCCTTGAAAACCACTATTTCAGAGGATAGGTCTTGATGGTGTGAGGGAGTATTTCAGATAATCATAGAATCCTTCAAAGTGGAAAAAGTGCCGCCAATTTGACTGATGAAGGAATAAAGTTTCGAGGGGGTACAAATCCACAACACGATTAGATCGTATTAATCCACAGTCCTTCTCTATTAAAATGGGACAGTAAGATTTCAATTTTCAGATTCCAAACAGCTTGTAAGTTCACTCGTTTCTATCAGTTTGTTAACTCTCATCTTTTTTTCCTATTTAAGCAATGCAGTGCCGATACACTTTGATAATAAGTGCTTAACGAATTATGTCTTCCTCCAAACCAACAAAGACTTTCCATGTGAAACTCAGCCTTGCTGCTTTGTCCTACTTTAACAACTCCATTTAAGGGACATTTGAATGATAGCTGTCTTAAAGGAGTCGAATGGTCTTAGTGTGCACAAAATAGAACTGACCAAACCAGTGATGTTGACTGGGTGGATGCTGGTCATGGTGCTGATTCAGAAGCAGGGGCTTTTGTTGTTGCCGTCACACGTGGCGGCAGGATGCATTTGAACTTCTTGTAGACACAAAAGGATCGCAAATCTACTCCAAATCTTTTCATCAACGAAATTGAAGAAAAAAACGCATATTTCAAGCCACTTAAAATTCGTTGAAAATTCATTCAATTTCACTTTTTCGAAATTCTACAATTATCATGATCCAAGGCTGTAAAAAGTCATAATTTTAGATATCAGACCCCCAGGGTGCGTTTCTTATTTTTTTTAAAAAAATGAATTCCTCCCTCACGCAACACTATTTGACTATACTTTTCGACCCGTAGTGTTTACTATCAAACGACACAAAGCTCATACTATTTACAAAAAACGCTTTAGGAACGTTCTTACAGAGGTTGAAGATTTTGAGATAAACATTTGATTTCACCAAACCGATACCTTTACTGGTCGGTTAAAAATTTGCCTTAAATTTAATTATTACCATTGACAAACCGAAAAAAGGGTTTAGATTGAAGTTTATCCAATTTAACAACACCTATACTACTTAAGCTACATTCAGATGACATAATTCCTTCACAACTCAATTGGATCATCATAAAAGCTGTAAACCAGTAGTAACATTAGCAAAGTTTATGACAATGATGATTCTGAAGTAAGGCAGAGAGTGGAGTAGTTGAACTTTGCACAGACACCAAACAACCACGAAGTGAGTGGCTAACACACTTAGGCACTGGTAATACGTTGCTCGCATATGGCTACTGATATGCATATCTGTGTGTGCTCTTCGATGGCTGGATACTGGTTGATTTGGGTTCGTGAAACGTGTGTTAAGTGGGACACATGTACATCTTGTCGCCCGCTAACTGACTGGCTGCAAAAATAGGTAGCCGATTGACTGTCATGTGAAAAAGGTGATTAGCTAATAATGGCCCCTATAAGTATGGGTGCGATAATACATCTTGTCAGGAAGGGGAAGTTTTACAGGAAAAGCTTCCTACTTAGTGCTTGTCTGTTAATTTCTAGCTGTCTAGCTACTTCACCGCTTTTAATTACTATTATCAGGATGCCACTTTCAGTTCAGCTGCGGCAGATAAAGTTTCGAATTAACTGGACAAGTAATTATGCAAACTCTTACAGTCCACCACTACTCGGTCTCCAGAACGATAATACAGAACTCTAACAGTGTCGTGCTACTACTACGGAAGTCACTATCAAGAACTACAGAATTCATGATCTCTTTTGTGATTGCATGGACCCTGCATAGATGACAGTGCAGTAAAATATGCTTGAGGATACCATGATAAAACACATAAACTTCTTCATAAGTAACTTAAAGGGGGCAAGTGAATCAACTGGGTGCAGTTGCTGAATCTGCGGTGAATAAAAACAGAGGAGCTACAAAAGGTAACAAAATAAGTCCGTGTGGTTCTTATAACCAAAGCTGAATCAGCAAATAATGCGTTACAAAACAAGACCCCCCAACCTTCCTCTTTCCCTTACTTTTATGAAACGTTTTATCCATGGGAGCAGAAAACCCAACCCCTTTTTACATTTACTTCTATTACACTTTTAGCCACCAACTGTCTACCCTTTTGTGCGTGAGGTTGTTTAACGCCAAGAAAGTATTAGTATTGCCACTTGAGAAAATAGCACTGGGGAATACAGAAAGTGAAGGTAATGTAGTATCTCGCCCTATCCTAAAGTGCAGTATAAGGTCTACCTCTGTCTTCTGAGGTTAAGACTTTCTACCAAGCGATGTGCTATTTCCTGCACAAATTCGATTTCTACCACAATTGCTTACTCGCCAGTAAGAAATTCAGTGTGAAAGAGTATGTTACCAGTTCACTAAGCATGAGATAAGCAATGTTATCTGGGGATAACTTGCCTTAGAGTTTTTATATGAAAGAGTGAGTGGATTGTTCGATGAAAAACAATGATAAGTTCGTTAACTTAGCAAAATTCGCAATAAAAAGTCACTCAGCCAGTAAGTCACGAAGCAAATAACCTAGAATACGTGGCGCGTTTTTATATGGTAAATAACCGAGATAGTTTAAAGTTTATGGCCATCTGCTGTTATTAAATGGCATTTGGATGGAATCCATTTGCTTAAACTGTATCTCCACTTTTGCTTCCCAATGGATGTACGTACAGACAAATTGCTCTATTATTCGCATTAAAAGTTGTTTAAGGTTCCGAGTTCTGGACACATCAATCTTCAAATACCATGCAACGATTTGTAGAAAAAGTTGCTGCAGCTTCACAAACAAGTTTTGATTTGTAAAGCACACAAGCTCAGATCGTATTCGTCAAGGCTAACCTTAAATTGATAAGAGAACTCAAAATACCAGAGGAGTGGTGGATAACCCATGCGTATGAACTGACGTGCAGATCTTGGCC